CAGAATTACTCCATTTTTTAAAAAGCTTTTATTTTTGGGTGCGTATGTTTTCTACAAATACATAGAGGCCTGTATTTTCCCTATAATCTATATTTTTGAAACTACAGTACAGAACCCGTTATCCGGAAATCTGAAAACCGGAGGACCAAAAAACCGGAACGAAATTCGATTAGTTTTCCCGCCATTTTTAAAAAAAATTATTTTTTTTCCTCATTAGATTTTAGGATTTTTCGTTCTTTTTTGAAAGATGTTTACCTTTCCATCATTTTGGAAATAATCATTAGTGTATTACTTCATCGTTTTTTCTTCTTTTTAAGATTATTTGCAATTTTTCTTTTTAGTTGGATTTAACTATAAAAAAACGGCATTTTGTAGCGATTCAGAAAACCGGAAAAATCAGTTATCCGGAATATCGATGGTCCCGATCGTTCCGGATAATCGGTTCCCTACTGTATTTATCATTAGAATACATCTTAATCCGAAACCTAGACACAAAATTATAGACAAACTAGTTTAGGCTGAAAGGAATCTGATTTAAATGTAATTTTTTTAAAAATGTTATCTGCAGTGACACTATTTTCTCTTTATATTAACCTATAATTTTAAATCTTAACACTATTTTTTATTACAATATACCTAAACATGAGGCCACGCCACAAATTTACAGAAGAATTAGTTAGGACACAAGAGGACCAAATTGTATCATATGTGAATTGTATCATAAAAAGCTAATTCATTTTTCTTTTTATCACAGTATTATTATCTTCTTTTTTTATTAAAACCCTTTTTTAACAATATGGTAATTTTAATAAAATATTTTAAGTTATCGTTCCTTCTTGATATTACCAATCTTTTTTTAATTGCAGAATTATTCTATTATATTAAAAAACATTTTTTTTCTTTTTTGAGCATGTTTCTTCTGCATCTACATAAAAGCTTACATTTTTTCTTTTATAGTAACTTATAATTTTCAAACTTGGCCCATCTATTACTTCATTGTGTTCTATTTTCTAGTATAGTAACCCATTTGCTACTATATTAACCCATTTAAAAGACGTAAATTGCCGTACTAATATCGATGCCCATGATGCTTAATCAATTTTGGTTATGGGAACAAACTGTTGTTGTTGCTATCATAGGCCATTAAAGCAAGGAGTGCGATTATTCGTGTTTTCCAGTGGCGCCATCTATGGCGAAGAATTCGACTTCTGCCACACTTATTTATAGGGCGGACCTATTCATATATCCATTAATTTTTCAGATCGTAGCTACAGATAGTAATTTTGACCTGAACCAGAGAACGATCTATCTCCAATTCAGCACCCCCAGAGGTATAATCTGTTATTGGAACATGGAGGACTTCGTGACTCGACAGATTTAACGTACACCAGTTACACGAGAAATCTTCGGCCGGCGGTATTCGAATCCCCCGAATATAAAATTAAACCAACTAAAACGTATATCTAATGGAGCAATGACGAGAATTCGTTTAGTAGAAAGGCAAAACTTTGCCATACATACAGTGTTTGACGCCGATGATGTTGAATTAATTATGGCAATTGGTACTAATTGAAATAGATAATTAGTTAAGTGCTGAAAAGCAAAATTAATTGAGTAAATGTACTACTTCGTTAGAAGAAATATAAAACTCCGTCATGCTATTATTAACGCTAATAAAGCTTAATTTATTTTGGTAATAGGCGTTTTTGATATTATGGTAATTGGTGCAATTATAAATAATACCAAATCTACTAATGTAAGTAAAACTAACGTTTGTACCTATTAAAACTGTATTAATGCTGTGCATTTTATTGCAGATAATGTGGAAAGAGGTGTTTTATAGCCTTCGAAAGGGATGTCATCAGTCAGAAAGGGAAAATCACCTAAGTTTGATGAATTTTGTATCAAATCAGCTAGTATCAAATAACATGAAGACGATAAATTACATCAATGAAACAGGCATCAATTAGCATGAAGTTTTATTTGAAACTCTAAATAGCGATAAAAGAAATTATCTAACAGCACGTTAAAATACAAGTTTATAATACAAGAAACGGAATATTTGACTGACATATCCTAGTTATTTAAAATATACTAGAAAGTATGAACCAGGGTTGGCATTTCGTCTATAAGAAACCCATATCTTGCAGGAAACTGAAAGAAAGTGGAAAAAACTAGTCTAAATTGGAAGAAAGTAAAATTGATTAATACAATTGTTTGACGATAGCTAATATATTAATACAGGGTGAGAAGCGTTTTCAAAAAGTGCATAAAGGTGCTTATTTTCGATTTCTTTTTAAAAGCCCTTAAAAGGTACCTTTTTCATTAAGTGTCTTTAAAAAGTACTTAATTTCTCCTTTTTCAAAATGAAATTTTTCACTTATCATGTTGATTTTCGTCACGCTTTATTCAAAAGCATGCTTTTCACATTGTTCTATTCAACGTTTTCACAATTCATTCAACCCCAATCTATATCGGTGCATTGTCGTAGCGTGTGAAAACGCCATTACTATATATTTTTTAAAGTTCTTAAAATTATTTTTTGAGTGCTTATTTTTTGCTGAATAATTTGGCTATGCACCCTGTAATAGTTCTATTTTAAAAAAATTAAAATTTTATGTAGTACAAAAAGTTAAACATTTTTACATTTAATTTCTTACAAGAATAACTATATTCATATAATTCATTTTAATTTTATACAGAATTTTAAAATATATTTTGAATTTTGATTTGAAGATTTCTTTTGAATCTTGGTTTATGTAACACTTATTTCTTCTAAATAAATAAGTATAGTACTTATATCTAAATAAATATGTACAATTATATCTAGATGAACTGTGTACTTATTATGAGTATTTTTAGTTCACCGAAGAATCTGGTAGAAAATAGAATTATCTAAAAACTAAGAAATATTACTTGGTAAAATATTAATTCAAAATATGTAATTGGTTACTTCAATTGGTTAAATTTTAATTACAGATTTTTGAAAGCTAATGTATTTTTTAGTAATTTTGCTTTTATTTAATTTTCTTTTCCTGATTTATGTAACAATAATATAAGAACTAATTTTTCTTCTTAAATTTATAACATTAGTAATTCATAAACTAAATACAGTAACAATAACAACTTATAAGTTTTATTTCTAAAAAAAAAACTTGTCGGTTTGAACGCAATTATCAGTTCAATAATTGAAATAGCTTTTAAGTCAACTTAATTAAAATATATTTTTTATTTTATAAAATTAATCATTGATTTGAAAAGAAAAATTTATAATCTGTGAATAAAAATTTATGGTTAAAAATTCTAAAAGTTTTTTTCATAATTTAGAATTCTCCGATTACTTATGTATTAAAAATATTTATCTATAAATATACCTTTAACATAGTATCTAAGAATTGTTTAGTTCTTAGATTTAATTTCTTACAAGAATAGCTATATACATATAATTTATTTTAATTTTATACAGAATTTTAAAATCTATTTTGAATTTTGATTTAAAGATCTATTTTGATTTATGTAACCCTTATTTTTCTAAATAAATAAATATATATCTAGATGAGCTATGTGTACTCTTATTATTTTCAGTTCACTGAAGATTGTAGTTAAAAATAGAATTATCTAAAAACTAAGAAATATTATTTGGTAAAATATTAATGCAAAATATTTAATTTGTTAATTCAATCGGTTAAACTGGTTACTTCAATTCTTTAAATTTTTGAAGGCTAATGTATTTTTTAGTAATTTTGTTTTTATTTAATTTTATTTTCATGGTTTATGTAACAATAAAATTAGAACTAATTGTCCTTCCTAAATTTATAATATTAGAAAATCATAAGAAAAATACAGTAAAGATAACAACTTACAAGTTTTATTTTTTAAAATAAAACTTGTAATTAGCTTTGAACGCAACTATCAGTTCAATAATTAAAATACCTTTTAAGTCAACTTAGTCAGAAATATTTTTTTTTATTCAATAAAATAAATCATTGATTTGAAAAGAAAAATTAATAATTTGTGAATAAAAATGTATGGTCAAAAATTCTAAAAGTTTATTTCATAATTCAGAATTTTCTGATTATTTGTATTAAAAAAAATTACAATTACTATTTGTATTAAAAATATTTATCCATAAATATACTTTTAACATAATATCTAAGAATTGTTTTCAGTATTCCTATTAACAGCATTTATTTATGAAAATTTGTATGCTGTTTGTATTTATGAATACAATGTGCGATTAGTAGTATAAATTCAATATGTAACAAACAATTTGAATATTATATATTAAAAGTTTTTATTACAATTATAAAATTAAGTTTGAAAAAGAGCATTGCCGTGACCAGGATACGAACTGAAAATAACCCAGGTTCATATCCTGGTCACGACAACAAGCAAACAAACCTCTCATTTTTTTAAAGTAAACTAATTTTTATGATATNTATAAAATTAAGTTTGAAAAAGAGCATTGCCGTGACCAGGATACGAACTGAAAATAACCCAGGTTCATATCCTGGTCACGACAACAAGCAAACAAACCTCTCATTTTTTAAAAGTAAACTCATTTTTATGATATAAAATTAAATGCAAACCTAGGGGAAAAAAAAAAAAAAAAAAAAAAAAAAAAAAAAAAAAAAAAAAAAACATAATTATTTATTTATTTAAGATAGTTCTATTATTCATAATTGGTAAATTTGTTTTTGCACATAATTATATCAGTAAGGGGTCATTTTTATTGACACTAAATTTTATTCATCAATCCAGTTTTTACGACGCTAACACAATTGGCATTTCCACACCAAGAAAAAGACACAGAGTAAAATCAAACACATGCGAAAAATCACGTGCCATCGATAACATTTTGAAGTCAATGGAAGTAACCCCTAAAAACGACCAACCTCCATTAACGATCATTTTACTGCGGAACAGAGAGCGGTCGCTCCCAAAATATAACATGATCAGCTAATATTTCAGCCAATAGAAATTGCAAAATAAAACAAAAATTATTTTTGGAAAGTACATTTTTATTGTAAATAAATAATGCACACACAAGATTGAAAAATTATCAAAGTTTTTGCTCCTTTCTCAAGTTGTATAAACTGATATTAATGAAGTAAACTGGGGGAATGAAAACGCACGTAAGAATGATATCACAATGAGCATATCATGATTCAGACTCTCTTTTGATTTGTCTACGAGTTTCTCTCTCGAGTAAATGCTGATTCTTTAATCTCTCCAGCTCAGCCAGTCTTGTTTGTGAGTGTTTTAACCGATGCCAAGCCATTTGCATAACTTTCTGACTGGCATAGCTTGAACCTTCATGAGCTTGACCTAAAATAAAAATAGTTTTGTAAATTTGCTGAAGGTAAAATGCACACCAAAACTGAAAATATTTGGTTTTACTATGAAATAAGGTTTTTCAGCTGAATAAATCTAACAGTTCTTAAAATGATATCCATTCATACTTTTTTTTAGATTTCATGATTTAATAGAATAATGATTTAATTTCATTTGAAATAATGAAAAGTATTATAATGAGTTGGAGTGGAGGATAAGAACAAAAAGCAAGCAAAAATGAAATTCTAAAGATATGTATGTTAGCAAAAACAGCACTTCATCAAGGGGCATGTTGCCTGTTAACATAAAGGAGCCTTTCTGTAGTCAGTGGTTAAACCAAAAACTGACTGTGCTCCGAGGCCCCATAATGGATAAACTAGATAAGAAAATTTAGTTTTTCTCATTTAGTTTTTTGTTATTTAATTTTCGTACTTAGTTTTTTCTTATTCAACTTTCTTGTTTAGTCTTTCTTATTTAGTTTTTTTATTTAGTTTTTTCTCAATTAATTTTCTTATTTAGTCTTTCTTATTTAGTTTTTTTATTTAGTTTTCATTATTTAGTTTTTTCTTATTTAATTTATCTAGTATGGGGCCTCGGGGCACAGTCAGTTTTTGGTTTAACCACTGACTACAGAAAGGCTCCTGTATGTTAACAGGCAACATGCCCCTTGATGAAGTGCTGTTTTTTTTGCTAACATACATATCTTTAGAATTTCATTTTTGCTTGTTTTTCGTTTCTAATTTTTTATTTAAATTGTTTACATAAGACAAATTTGGTTTTAGCTGCTTTTCCATTTTGACTTATTATTTTTAAGTTCTTTTCTTAAAGTTTTTTTTTTTTTTTCAAAAAATTTGCTTAAATCAATTGTTTGGATTATAAATATCTTATAACAGATTTATCTTTTATTTTTCACAAATAGAGGGAACTGGTTTAATATTTTTAAAAATAAATCTTATTAATTAATAATTTTAGAGTTAATTTATCTAGCTTTTTCACATGCAAACTGTGCAAGATTACAAGATTATACCAAAAGCTATTAATTGATGTTAATTTTAATGCAGTAGAAGATGAATATTGTACAATTCTATGAACTGTGATTCTTCAAGACAATCTCAATAGTAAATCAAAATTGATAAATTTGTTCGTTTTTAATTCTGATACTCATGAAAATTTCATTTTTTATTCTGTAAGTAAGAAATACTTAAATGTGTATTTTTGTCTCTTAAACTTTTCGAACTTAGAAATTATTTTAAAGCATTAATCTTGATCTCTTCCACTTATATATTGGTATACAGGTAGGTTTAATGATATGTGGGATGATCCAGATGATACAAAATTCTACATAATGCCAAGCGTCAAGTTTCAAGGTTTGTGTTATAAATTATATTATATATATATATGTTATGTTATATATATATATTATTTGTGTTGTAAAAAATAAATAAGTATTAAAGTACCTAAATAAAGTTATAAATTATAGATATGAATGAGCAATTAATCTGTTACATAAAGCCGAAATAGCTTAGCAGAAGAAATGAATGTTGAATTTTGTTTTAAATTTCGTAACAATGGACATTTTAAATGCAAAGAATAGCAGTCTATATAAAATACATAACATAATTTCTACAATAAATAATAATGTTAATTCAAACTATAAAAGAAATTTTTTTTTTGTACATACAGGGTAACAAACAATTTCTTTAAAAGTAACAAATACTAAACATCTAAAATTTTTCAAAAATATTTTAGGATAAGTCAGCATATTTGAATTTCAGAGTGGGTTGATTTTAGAGTTAATGATATTCATGTGTTGGGAATGGTTTAGGTATTATCTTTTTTAAAAACTATTAATTTATCATATTTTATTATAACAGTAATTTTTAAAATATGATTTTTTTAAAAGAAAAAAAAACACACGTTCTTGGAAGAAATTATAGTTCAACAGAATAAATAAATGAATAAATTATTAAAACAAATATAGAAAATAGGCCAACTATGACTATAAATAAGGACAATTCTGACTTTTCTAATTTCCAGAATATATTTTTCTTACAATTCATTAACACAAATATTACAATATCAATAAGTTTCTCAGCATATTAAATTAATATTTCGATTGCAAATTATTAACACCTAAATAAGAAATAAAATTAAAATTATGGGTACACAGCAAAGACTGTGTAACAGAATATTTATCTACTATTAGTACCATTTAACATATTATTCTTCATTTACTTAACATGTTTTACACCTGTGTTGTTGTTAATTGATGAATTTAATTGAATATGGAGTTTAGTGACACAAGAACAATAATAAAGCTTCTGTTCTAAGAAAATATGATTTTGCTATTTAAAACAACAGGATATCTGACAAAAGTTTGGGGAAAATTTCCTTCCACCTGACATTTCATTGTTTTTTAAAATTTTAGACTAAAATTTATATTATCTTAATTATTTTCTCACAATATTTTCTTCAATTTATACCAGTTAGTATAATATTGAACAATATAAAATCAACCACCCAAAATCTTAAACTAAGCTTAGATTGCAATATAGATTAATATTTTAATTAAAAAAAGAAATTTAAAGCAAAAAATTTATGAATTAATTAACGGGTTCAAAATATTTATAATTATTTAATAAAATGAATACTTCAGTGAATCTGCAGACTACTTAATATTTTTGCATGTTTTTTTAAAGTAATTCTTTAATTCTAAAATAATTCTTTAATTTTTTTTAAAATTTTGATCACGTACGTTTACTAACGTAACAACAATAGAGGAATGCCTTTTTTTTAAATGTGTACAAATTAAAATAATTATTTTGACCTCATGATCTTTTTTCTATTATTATGAACCAAATTTGGAAAATTTTATTTGGTTACAAAGAAAGATTATGTATTTTGAACAAAAATAATTGCAAAAAAGAGTAAAATTTCAACATTAAAATTAAATTTTTTTTTTATTTTGATCATGTACATTTACCAATATAACAACAATAGAGAAATGCTTTTTTTTAAATGCATACAAATTAAAAGAATTATTTTGACTTCATGATTTCTTTTCCTTTATTATGAACCAAATTAAGATAATTTTATTTTATTACAAAAAAAAAGATTAGGTATTTGGAACAAAAATAATTGCAAAAGAAAGTGAAATTTTGATATTAAAAAATAATACAAGATCTAAAACTGAATTTAAAAGATGCTATTATTTTTTATTTTTTTACCTTAAAAATACAAAACTTATTGGACTAAAAACTTTCCCCTACAATTCCAAGTCATCAATATTTGAAAAACTTTGTCATAAACCATAATCCCAGCAATCACATTAATATTAAGCATCATTTTGTGAGCGAAGTAAAAATGGTTAGACAGATAGTAAATGAATGAAAATACATTGAAAATATGCATGTAAACCAGTATTTTAAAATAGCATGTTGCCTTACAAAACCATATCCAAAATAAATTGCTAGACACTTTGTTATAAACCATAATCCCAGCAATCACATTTCACATTAATATTTATCACCATTTCATTAAGGAAGCAAAAATAGTATATGAAAGAAAATAAATTCAAAGTATGCATGTAAACAAGCATTTTGATGCAACATGTTGCCCTACAAGGAAATATATGATCTAAGTACATTGCTGAGTACTTTTGCTAAAGCTGCAATAGTCAACAGAATGTCCCAAGTTAGCCTTTTATAAGCAAAATCTGCAAACTTGAATTATCGAATAGATGATATGTACTGAAGTTATTAACTCTTTATTAGATAAATTTAGATTTTAATAGCTGACACTCTATTATACAACAAGAACATAAAAATTACAACAACTTAATATTTAGTTTCAGTTAATAACTTTCAGGTATTGCAATAATATGAAAACAGAAACTTGTTTTAAAGGTCATTTTATAGTACTGATAAGCTTTCATAAGGAAAATATATGGATTATTATTAATTTTTAAATAAAAATAGGAAATAATTTATTCATGAAATGTCTTTGTGAAAGTAAAATCAGAGATTAATAATCATTTGGATACAATGCCAACAATTTAGTAATTGATAGGTGTCCCAACTGTGTGATGAAGTCATCAGGTTTGACAACATTATCTAGTTAGTAACACAATATAAATTTTTCTATAAACAAGGTTTTATGTAAAGTTTTATTAATCATAGTATATCTATTATGTTATCAGTGTTAGTTATTAAATATTCATCAGTTTTTAATGATAAGAGTACAAGTGATATAGTAACAGTGTAGACTCCCATTTACAGAAAGTATTAAATAGAAAGCAAGCAGTTGTAAGCTTTTTTTTATTAAGTATAAAAAATTTTGATGATTAAACCAAAATTTTCAGAGTAAAACTGAACAAAAACTTGTATACAATGATCTAATTAACCCCTTTTTCTCCCCTCAAAAAGTGCAGTTGACATTAATTTCACAACTTTACTACTCAATTATTATTTCAAAACAGGTAATCTTTAGTTAGTGAACTTTTGTGTAGCATAATTTTTTTTTAAAAGTAATTTATTTGTTTTTTAGTACATCTTCTCTTAACTTTAACAGAGAAATACTTCTTTTTTTTTGTTGGATTTTTGGAAGGCAATAAAAGTAAAGATTATATTAATTTGTAAGAAAACCCATTTTATAAAATTTGCTGCGTTTTTTATTTATTTATATTCTTTTTTCCTTACTTAAATTGAGAAGATTAAAATTTTGTTGATTGCACTATACTGTAACAATAAAGTATTTGAAAGGGAAGATAAATTTAGTCATCGATGATAACTTTAATTATACAAACAACTAAAATACATTTGAAAAAAAAAATTAAGTAGAGTGCCAATTATCCGTGAGATTCGCAAACAGATTGAGAGTACGATTTCAAATTATGAAAAGATACTTTCAAAGTAAGACGAAACGAGTAACTTATTTATTTTGAAAAAGAGTGCAATTGAAAAGTTTTATGAAGTATATAGGTGCCATTTCTTTCTTTTTTTTAATCATTCGTTGTTACAGAGACTTTGACGTAGAACAAAGATTTCGGTAGTGTGTTTGAAATATATGCACACATATGAATACATCTTTTAAAACTATGTTTTGAATTTCTACCTTACTTTTTGAATTTTTTCAGGTAATCCGTTCAAAGTAGTGTATAATCTCGATAAGAAACATATTTAGTTACATATTAAAGAAGCATTTTAAATTAAAAAGCTCTGCTCAAGAGAAGAAACAAATTAAGCATAGTAAAGAAATCAGAAGAAGTATTCATAAAAAGGATGAACTTGCTGATGATAATATTGAAATAAAATCTTTCAATTTCAATTGGGTAATTTTATCTGCAGATGTTGAGACAATCTGCAGTGCCTGCAGCCATGCTAAAGGGTTTCTGCTACACAGGATATACTCTTACTAAACTTAAAAAGTATTGTATAAATAAGATTTAAAAAAATAAATGGTTCCACAAACTAAAGCCTTGAAAGAAAGAAAAAGTAGGAAATAAAGATCACCAGGGTTTCTAAGAACCTATGTTTATGTAAAAGAAAACATATTATCTAGAAGTTTAAGACGAAAAAAAACTCCATTAATTATGGCAAAAGGTGTAAATTTTTAAAAACCTCAGTGTTAGTTGCAGATTGATGCAGGAAAATCAATTGCTCTTAATGTTATTCAATAAGAAATATATGTGTACCTGGAAAAATTTGGTATAATTTGGTCTATTAGCATAGAATATGGTAAAAAACTAATTATAAAAAAATTATAACAACTAACATTATAAATAAATGAATGGTAACAAAAATTAAACAGTACAAATTGCAGATATTTATTCTTTTTAAGTAAATGTATTCAGTAATCATTAATAAAAATCTAATTTCGCATCAATAAAATATTAAATGTGTTCCTTTTTAAATTAAAATTTGTATTAAATTATAATTATTTATATTTAAAGGTCTACTAATAAAGTTTACATTAAATACTTTTCTTTGCTAACAACTGTGACATTTTTCAGAATATATATTAAATAACCAATAAGAAAAACCTTAATTAAAATACAATGATATAAACAGAGATATTAAACTGAATCTTAAATTTAATTTTTTTAAATAAATTAAAACAAACAGCATGAAAAAATATAACAGCTGTTTGAAGCCTAGTTGTTGTGAAATTTAGCAAAATTATGAAAAAAGTGAAATAAAATTTTTTAAACCTCTCGGCATTACTTGCCGAGTGATGTCACAAAAATCAATTGCTCCTAACGTTATTTAATAAAAAATATAAGAGTACCTGGAAAAATTTTATACCATTTTGTCTATAGTCGTTATGCTTAAAAGAATAATATGATTGCAAAAACATGTAAAAAAAATTCAATATCATTTGAAAATAAACCCATTAACTGGCTTTCATCATATTTTTTTCATTTTTTTTTTTTAACTTGCTACATCAAAAATCATTTATACATAGTACACTATTGCAACACACTATTCATAAAAAATTTTAATTCTATACCCTATTTTCCACAAACTATAACATAAGTTAATAAACTTATTTAAAAAACTAACATTTTCAATACAAAATAAAGTGACTTCAATGATATTAAAAAGATTTTGAAATAGTAGTTATTATTATTTTTTCATAAACTAGATCAACATTTTTGGCAGTATTTCCTAAAACTATTTTCTTTTACAATTTTTACTTTATTATAACTTTTTCATAAAAATTAAAACAGATATTTCTGACCTCCAGAAACTCATTTCCGATGGTCTGAATTATGTGTCTGAATAATATGTTTTTGCAAAGTAAAGTGATGTAGCAGTTTTCAAACAACAAACCGTCAATAATCCGTTATTTTAGAATGACCCTACATATAAAATTTTTCAACATACCAGTTGAGACTTGAGTCAAATATGTAATATTCTTTGAAAGGCCAGCCTCTACATTTTCAAGAGTTTTTAAAAAGGTTGTGCTGTAAGTTTCAGCTTGCTTCACACTTGGTTTTTCTTTGCTCAATTCTAAAATGCCTTGACCTACAAACATAAAACAATGTTAATGTATTACATCAGTACGGAAACAAAAATACAACCGAGTAGTTTAGTAGTAATATCATGAACCTAATTAACAAAAGGGTAGGAAATAAAAAGTTATTATAATCAAAATTTCAAATAAATGAGAAAGTACGAAAATAATCAGTAAAACCATTTTACAAATAGGACCAGAAAAAAATTTGGCTTTTGATAACTAAACTAATTCTTAGTGTTCTAAAGATTAATATTCATTTGATTTAATTAAAACACTAAGTACGTATAGGTACAATATTTTTGAATTGAAAAGCATTTAAAATTTTATATAGATATCTGCCAACATTGGAGAAATAAAATAACAGAGATTTTACTAGCAGCATTTTTTAGGCTACGAGTAAAGTTTTGATACATCATGCATAATCATGTAAGGAGAAATTCAAAATTGAAAATAATATAAGCACTTACAATAGCGATTGCTTACATATAGCAATAACATTACATAATATTGGCAACAGCACCATCTGTTGAGAAATAAGAGAAGTATTTTTGCTACCAGTGGATATTTTATTGCCAATTTTTTTTTAAAATTTCTTCACCAAACACGGAGAAATTTGAGAATATATGGGTAAACAGGATATAGTCGTAAAATACAGGAATCTTTGTTAGAAAACAAGAGACTTGACAGGTATGTATATATTTTGTCATTAAAAAAAAAAGTTTTTAATATCTACCATCTACATGGAAAAATTTAATTTATAATTGTTTTTTACTGAAAATAAATTACTTACATCGTTAATTTTCAAATTAACCACTGAATCATATTTGTCTTATTAAGACAATTCTTTAAAAAACATTGAAATAGTAAGTTTAATAGGTTTAACAGATTGTATTAATGTATCAACATTTTAAAATATTAATGTTTACAATCAATTTGGTATTCCTTTAAAGTTTACTGAAATTAGTTTGAAAAATAGTTATAGAATTTCATGATAACTTAAGTGCTAAGTTATGTAGTATTTTCTAATTAATTTTTGGTTACAAAGTGGGGGAAGCATATTGACCATTCAAAAACAACATTGGGCCCTCTGTCGCAGGCAGTCGACCCCTTAGTTAATGTTTCAGCTATTTCAAAAATAAATTTCCACCAAAAAAATTTAATTAATGCAAAAACAAATTATTATTGCAGGTTACCACAAAGCATACTTTACATAAGGGCAATTCAACAATACGAAGGGCAACATAACAAAAACAAAATATTTAATAGCATTTTTCTATTAAACAATTTCTTAACTTTTGGTTATAAAATCAAAAGTAGTAGTTTTTAAATATTTTATAATACAAACAAAAAAAGGTTTATTAAAATTGTAATATAGTTTATATTTGAAACAACAGTCACATAAAAGTTGTAGCACCAATCAAAAGAATCTTTTCTCTATTTGTCACTTTCTATGTATCATTTTTTTCTATATATCATATATGGGCCCTTTCAATGCTTCCTGTTAATTTAAAGTTTCTTTAGAGAAACTTTTAAAAAAATAATTCAATTATTGCTTATAGAAGAAGGAGAATTTCAAAATAAAATAATGATGTTTAACTCCTTTCTATGTAATGTCAGTCACATTTGATATTTTCACTCTAAATAAAACATTTTTAATTTTTCTCCCTTTTTCTTATATGTATATTGAAAAACAACCCATATAAAATTATTAAATATTTATCAGTGGAAAAAAAAGTTTACAAATAAGAAAACCTATCAAAATGAAACATCAGTCACCGTGGATTTACCCATATAAGCTGCACTTAAGACAGTTTACAATAAACTTTTTATTTATTTTTCAGCGTGTCCGTTTTTACAAATCTCAATATCAGATCAAAATTCTTATTTCTTTATATTCAAGTAGATAAAAACATTTTATTCAGTTTTTTAAAGGTATTAAATATTTATAAATTTATATATTAAATAAATATACATTTATATCATTTTATAATGGCTCACACTAGTAAAAATAGTTCATTTAAAACAATAGTGATGGTTAAGTACTTGCTTAGAGTTATGTTATTCTACTAAGAATCGCAAATAGAATTAACCATATATCAACAAGATGTAAAAAAAGTACTGTTCAATTTTATTTATTTTTTCACCAAGCAATCAAATTTTTTTTTAATCATATATAATTCATTTAAATTGGATGTAAACTTTCATATTACTTGAAATTGATTAGATATATATTTTTAAATTGAAAAAAGCAGAACAATGAAACGAAAGTAACATAAAGTTTAACTAATAAAAACCATATTACTACATAAAAATAAAACTATTATTGCAAATATGAAAACCATAGAGAGCAAAACTGATTGTAAAAACATCAGTTTAGCTAACAAAATTTGTAACTTTACATAAATTGATAAGTCAAGGATTCCCTAACAATCGACATTGAAATATCCAAATTGCCAGAACTTGGCATTAATCCACAACTTTAAAATTATACTTGATACACCATAGAAAAAAATTTCAAAACAGTCATTTACAATATTTTTTTTTTTTAAAATCAGAAAATAGTTTTTAAAAAGAAATAAAAGGAAACTATTTAATAAGAGAGCAATATAAAGTTTTCAGAAAAATTATTTCATTTCTCATGCAGCATATAGGTCTGTTTAACTCATTCAAACACTATTAAAATATACTTTGACCTCACTTAAAAGCAAAATACTATTGCACAGGGTTTTACTCAAGCTTATACACTTGTATGAGGGGAAATCTTGGAAGGATATTGAAAAAAGATCAGGATTATCAATCAACATGGGAGAGAAAGATAGTGAGGAAATTTTGTGGACCTGTCAATGATGATGAATAATTAGAAACAAGTTAGGAAAAATATGAAGACATTGATAATGTCACAGAAATGAAGTACCAGAGACAGACATGGTTGAATCACATTCAGCAGATGAGTATTAATAGAACTGAGTAAAAGGTTTATGATTCAAAATCTGGTGGCTCTTGGTCTTTTGAAAAGCAGAGCAGAAGATGGTTAGAGAAAGTAGAAGAGAGCTTCAAGCAGATAAAAATTAAAAACTGGAAGTCTATGAAGAACGGAGAACATCCTGAAACAGGCTCAAGTCCTCAAAAGACTATTAAGTCAATAGAAGTAGTAGTAAAAAATTTATTTGATTACTTATCGAAATTAATATACTTGTATACAATTTAATATAATTTATTTTAACAATAGCAATTTTTCACAGTTCTTAATCAGCTTCAATTCAGCACTTTGATGATGATTTCAATGCTGACAACACTGGTAGTTATCTATACTATTTAAAGTAATACATAAAAATTATAATTATTAACTTAATTTTACAATTACATAATTTGGACTTTTATACTGGGACAAATTTAATTGTATTTAAATTATTTAACAAACCTGCAATGTTTATTCAAAATTTTTAATCTAAAGGGGAAAAAATGAATTGGAGTAGAATTATTACAAAAATATGATCACTAAATGTAAATACAAACTTATTTAATAGTCCTAAAAGCAGAATGGACATAAATTATGAATTTTTTCAACAACAAAAAAATTAATAAATAAAAATTTTAAAAAAATTTATACTTAAATCGGATTTTTTACATTTATTTTAAAGTTACTACTCAAAGCTCTGATAAAATGTATTAGTAATGCTTAATATTACCTAAAAACAATATTATAACTAGAATAGTTAAATTTCAAACAAAAATGGTTAAATACTGGTGGTTAATAATGGTTAAAAAATGGAATGGTTAAAAATGGACACAGAATTATTTCAAACTAACAACTGAATAAAAGAAAATCATATTCATTTTTATTGAAGCTAAACATCTTCATGAATTTGCAAAGTCAAAGACCAAATCTTTCAGTTAGATTTCAAACAAAAAATAAATTATTTTAGTTCAAAAAATTAAAACAAAAAAAAAAAAAAAATTCTAAATTACTCTAGGCAGATTGGCAGAGTAAATAATTTATAAATACAAACTATACATTTAACAAGTTTTAAAAGTATTAATATTTAATTTTAATAAGCTTCAAACTAAATAGATATAATTGAAATCAAATATGAATATTAAACAACAAATTATTTTATAAAAAAAAACTAATGGAAATTTATAATTTGAAAGTTTTAGTCACTTTTATCCACATTTGATCACTCTTTCACTTATTTATTTTTTGTTAGTTTATCTTAAACATCAAATAATAATTTAGGCATTGTTTTTCCAGTTAAAACCTTCAAAATCAATGAAATCAGACTTTAGAAAAATATTTTTAATTTAAATTAATGGTAAAAAAAAGATGAAAATCAATAAATTTAAAACAATTATTTTTAACTATCTTGAACAGGCCTATTGGATAAATTTTAAAATTCTTTCTTACTTTACACATTTTTAATCTTACTTTAAAACAGCACTCAAATCTAATTTTGCAGAATAGAAAACGCAGAAAATAAACATAAAATGCATGTAGAGAGAATCAGAACATGGAGCTGTTGTTAACACTGGAATAATGCTGTTACTCATTGGTTGAAATTTTTCACAACATTTTTTACACTATTGAATAAAATTTTATGACAACACGCTTCATTTTATAGCAGTAAATAAATGAAGGTTTTTATGGAAAGAAAAAAGGTTTTTTAGCAATTGAATTTGCACAAAGCAGTAATTGAAAGATCAGTAATTAAATTTACATAAAGCAGCAATTGAAAGAGCCAATTGAATTTGCCTTTCAATTGTTACCCTAGTTTATTTTACTTAATGTTTCATACAATAATATACATTATATTATTTGTGAATATGTACATGACATGTTTTAATAGTCACTATCATTTTGTGCTTTTTTAATTAACCAATAATAGACTTAAAAAATGAATCCATGGTAGCTACCATGGATTTTTGTTCATATTGAGTTTTCTGTAAAAATATACAACAAAAAAAAGCTTTAGTAATAAGAACCAATTACCATAGAAATGAAAATGTTCGATTAAAATAGTATATCAGATCGATACATATTATGTAAAATACAAAAAAATAATCATTAATTACTAGCAGCATGTAGAGCAGCAGCTAAATCTTTCTCCAAAGCTTCCAGTTGTTTCAACTTTTCAGCAGGGGCAGTCATTTTAGATATCTAACTGTTTTACCTTCAACAAAAATGAAATAACAGTTAAAAAGTATTTTTATACATCCATTGTTTCAATTTGATTTCAATACAGAAATAAATAAAACAGAACATTTTAGATGGCACAAACAGCAATTAAAACCAGGATCAGTGAATTTTTGACAAGCATCAATTTTTGATTTCATAAATAAAACTGTGACGTGAAAACCCTAAAAACTGCATTTATGCATCGGTATAAATATTATAATTCATATTTAGAATAGCACATTGCATCTAGCGATTAAAGTCAAATATTAATCGACACTACTTTTAATATTTAATTCAATAAGTGTGAAAAGAGAATGTGTAGTAAAAACAACTTTTTTTAGTATTTAAACATACTTTAAATATAGAGTACTATAACAAAACAAAAAATCCACTGAGAGCTCTATAGTTGCAAGGTTGCTTTAAAGATGACATTAAAATAAAGTAAAAAGAGCTGAAAATTTCGTATAATTATTTATGCCATTATTTTCTTTCATAAAAAGACAAGAGTTGTAAAACTATAAATGTAAATTATAAATAATACAGACTCCTTAGAACTTATTCCAATGTTATTGTAATAAAATGTACGCTTTCTTTAACCATATTTTAGAAATTTTCGTTTATAAATTTATCTAATATTTTAATTCAGATTTTATGCGGTTGTAAGACTTAAGCACTTAACATTATACTATTTTTTTGATGTCATTGAATCTCTTTAAAAATTTATAGAAGAGAAGATCTGAGCTTTCAAATAAAATAAAGCAACAAAAAAAATTTAAGAGTATAAGGTGAACTTTTTTTCCTTGTAACTACAATTTTTACATTAATACAACTGTTATTTTTATTTCTAATTATTGTCATACATTCATATATTTGTATTCTTTACTTGCCAAATAAATATTTTAAATATACTATAAAAAACTTCACATGTATTATGATTTCTTAACTATCATTCAAGGTTTTTTGATAGTTTTATTCAGTTTCTGGAATTAAAATCAAAAGCCTGATGAAAATACAAGTTGAATGAGAAATATATGAATAACTTTAACACACAATAAACATCAAAGAAATAAGTTATGTTAAGATATGTAGTGTTGAATGTGTAGTTAAAAAATATGATATTTCATTTCTATAAGAAGACATCAATAGCAACATTTAATAATAATTTTAAAAAAACCTTAAGCAAAATATTGAAATGATTTCCTTTTCTCTGAACTACATGAACGCCAAATACAATGTTTTAATAAACTATAGGATTTCAATAAGTAACGATCAAATAAAAGTTAATGAAATAGAGCATATTAGATAGAAAAAATAAAGAAGGAAATACAGATTGAATGAGAGTTAATTAATCAACTATGAGACACAATAGCAACTAGAAAAAGTGAATGAATTATGCTGCTTCATGCTTATAACTGCTAAAGATTGCTTATTATTTTGTATCAGACCATTTTTGACAAGTTTTGAATTGAAATTGGTCTAATAATTTTTCCTCTTTTGCAGTTTTTATCAAGAACTTGTACTTTAAATACACTTATTTTTTAAGAGGGTTTTAGGAGTATTTAAGGCAGAATAGAATTTTCAAAATAACATGAACATACACATTGTGCTTATAAAATATGTTGTTTCAGCAGAGATTAATAATTGATTGAGAAAATGTTATTTCACAATCACATAAACTGAATAATAATTTATACTAAATAGCTTAAATGCTGAATATTCTGCTAACACTAGATATTCAACCTTCACAAAATTTATTTTCTATTGATCTACAACAATTAGAACTTCATGCAAAAACTTTCTGCTAAATAATTTTAAAGGGTATTAAAATTTAAAATATCTTTTGTCGTAAGATTTTCATTACACAACTTAGCTCAAAATTAACTATTTGACAAATTAATTTGTAAGAAAATTAGTAAAGAATGTAAAGCAAATTTGGGTACAGCCATTTTAGTTGTATCAACTTAGTTATAATAATTACAATATTTCACAGAATTAGAATAGTATGGTAATTTTAAACAAGAAAAATCCTTTGTTATTCATAATAAATTAATAATAATTTTTTAAAAAAAAAAACAGAAATGATTCACTTTAAGTTTATATTATGTAGCTGCTATCAACAAAATATTAGTATTTGTGACAGAACATTTGTTCTGTGTTATGAAATAAATGTCTAAGTTACCAGTTAGAAATATTTTGTTTAGTTTTTCTTATATTGCCAGTCATACTAGATTTGGCATTATAAAAATTTCATAATCTCATAAGACCTTGATACAAAATATTGAAATAATTTGTTAAGGTTATTAGGCTATGTTCAAAATGAACAAATACATACATGTATGTATGTATGTATGTATGTATATATATATAAGTTTGAAAATCACTATCAAATGCTATGTCAATTTTCTTAAATACGAATTTTGAGCNGAAATTTAAAGACTGAGAATTTAAAGAATACTTCAGGGATCTGTCTAGTTTATTCTAAAAGGTACCTATTTTGTGAAAATTTAGACATAATTTGTGAAAATTAAAAATTATATTAAAAAATCAGCACAAAAATATGGTAAAAATATAAATTTATCGTTCCTTACGAGACTCAAAAATAAAATTTTAAGAGAAGGTATTTTGTGAAACTACCCTTTTTCCTAAAGTTGAATTTGTGAAGGTACCGCTAAACGGTAGTAAATTTGGCTTGGACAGATCCCTGTATATATATATATAGTACATAAATATAAGGCAATCATAATACAAAGTGAAAAACCCTGAAAATTTTATGTGCAAACACTTGATATCACGATACCAATTTATAAACAATAAATGAAATTTTTTAAAACTAAGATTTATAATTAAATTACCTACCAATGAAAAATATACACTTTTATAGTAACTAATTTAATGAAAACTTAGCTTTTACAAGATTCGTGAAATTGGATTTTAAAATCACATGAATATGATTCAAGATATTGAATTTTAAGAGCACGAAAATACAAATCGTGACATTGGATTTTAAAAATGCAAAAATACAGATTGTTACATCGGATATTTAGATCGAATAAATATGAATCGCAATGTGTAACTTTTAAATCACAGGTAAATATAAAAATTCATATTTTAAAAAATCGTGAATACAAATAGCGACATTCGATATTAAACTCACTTGAATACAAAGGTCAAAGCAGTGATTTAAGCGAAAGTAAAATTCTAATGCCGTAGTGCCACCTATAAAGATCACATTACTAATATCAGAGTTCTTCCTAGGAATAAAAAAGAACAGGGTGCTGTCTCTCAGAAAAAAGGCACTATAAGTTTTGAAAGGGCACTCATTTGACACTGTAAAAACTTATCAAAATGTATAATATTATGTAATTATTGAATTTGATTCTAAACAATTTTTAAATTACCTCTTATACCATTTTATGTGCATATTTCAAAAAATAATTATCTCTCGTTATCAGAATAAGAGAAAAATTTGTAGTTTATAAAAATAATTAAAGGCATGCTCAAAGACTATCTCTAAGCATAAATTTTTTCTGAAAAAAGTAAACTAAAAAAAGTCATTAATTGATAAACAACTTGAAAGATTTCTATATAATTTAAACTAAAAATTATGAGAAAATAAACAAATTAAATTTTAAAAATTAAAACCATTAAAAAATTGTATTAATATCCCCACCCCTGAAAATAGAGATACATAATAATTTAACAAGTTGAAATTAATCCCAACAAGGTAAATATTCGTAATATTACGAATATTGATTACTACTTGATTATTAATTGATTGATTACTATTTAGTAATCAAAATTAAAACTATAAACTCAAGACAATTTTACCAGTGCGTAGTTGTTACTTAAACAGTGAATTAATTTTTTTAAAAATGGAATATGAATAAAAAGATAATGTTTTTATGAGAGAAAGGCATATATTTACAAAAAGGACAAAGAAAGAGCGTTTATAGGGATCAAAGGGCAGGACGGGGTGGACTGCCCTTCTAAAAATGCTTTGGGAGAACACTGCAATATGATGTATAAAAGAGTTCACTTTTCTTGTCTCTTAGAGTCCCTCAAAAAGATCACAAAATCACTTTTAATTCCTTTTAAATGATTAATATTAAAATATCAAAACTATTGTTATTACACAAATATTAACAATATTTATCATAAGCTCTGAGGTTTTCTTTATAAATAAACTGAATCACAAACACAATTTTATTTACAGCCCTCGGCAAAATTATTAGACGCACAATAAGAGTCTATGTAAAATCTTAATTATCAGGTGATACTATACAGCTTTATTGTTTCCACGCGGTTGAAACCGGTTTGCATTTGTTTATGTTCGTGTATCAATCGGTTAACATTGTAATTCAATGGTTAAAAATAAATACAAATAGGAAGCATATAAAAAATCTCTGAAAACCCTTTACATGTATGTTTAACTATAAAAGTATTGCATATAAACTTGTGCAAAACATGTCATTATTAAAAAACTACAATACATCTCATAATTTGATCTAATTATTACAATATAATACCTGATAAAATAAATATTCTATATTTATATAACATATTGTCTAATGTATCCAATTGTCGAGTTTATATTATATATTACCTAATTTAACCCATTGACACACAAACGTAAACAAGTACAAACCGGTTTCCGTCGCATAAAAACAATAAAGCTGTATAGTATCACCTGACAGTTAAAATTTTACATAGAATCTTATAGAATGTCTAATAATTTGGTTAGGGACTGTATGTTATTCTTTAAAAACTTCAAAAAATATATTTATTTTACTCTTTTTTTCTTTAGCTTCTTCACAGGATACAGACAGATGCAAATATACTCTGTATAATAATTGCTGATTTATAAAGGATGTAGACACACTAAATCTGAAATTCAAAATCAAAATTATAAACTAGAATTACATAAAATTAGAATAAACAATAATTGATTCTTAGAAATGTCAAATAATCCTTGAGTTCAAACAATTTTTGCATATAGAATGTTACAAGAGAAGGGCCGGATTAACCTATAGGCACACTAGGCATGTGCCTAGGGCCTACGAAAAACTTGGGAGAAAAAAATTTGTTGACAAAAATAATTTAGCTTTAAAAACAACAAGTGTATTTTGCACAAAATTATGAAGATACATATAAAAATATAATATTTTTCGGTAATAAGTTATTTTGCAGAATCTTATGATCTAATATATTACTTTTTTGCGATTTTTGGATTCAACAAAATCTTGTATTAGCTGTCGAATTCCCAAACTACGCAAAATGTCGTATTCAATAGACATTAGTGCGAGCGATGCCAAACGATCATTGTTGAACGCAAATAATTTTTTATCAATTTTAATCTGGAGAAAGATCTTTCTCCTTCTGCATTTGATCCAAGAATCGACAAATATATTCTTAATGCTGTTGTTGTTAATTTACACCGCACTAGAGCTGCACAATGGGCTATTGGCGACGGTCTGGGAAACATCCCGGAGGATGATCCGAAGACATGCCATCACAATTTTGATCCTCTGCGGAGGGGATGGCAACCCCGTTAATGCAATGTTAATGTTAGGAAAAGTATTCACAAGTTTATCTCTAACATTGCTATCGATCGAACTAATCATGATGATATTATCGATATCAACTGCAATATCGGCAGTATGTCGGTATTGCAGATAAAGTTCGATAAACAAATTTGTAAATTAAAATCCATATTAATAAAAATGTAAAAAAAAATATGCAAGAAAATTTTAGCATATATTTTGAAAAGAGGGGAGGAGTGGGGGAAGGAGGGGAGGGCCCAAAAACGGCTATGCCTAGGGCCCACGAAAGGTATAATCCGGCTCTGTGCCTAGGGCCTACGAAAGGTATAATCCGGCTCTGTACAAGAGGATTTTAATGTCAACATAACATCCTGGAAAGTAACTATGTCGATTTAATTACAAATGTGAGTACTTATATCTATTTTAAGAGCAAGGTGTAAAAAACATGTTACCATAACCAAGTTATATTAATATATTACAAGCTTTACCACAGCACCTACTATTAAAACACCAGTAACACTACTTTTTTCAGTAACTACTTTTTTCTTGCAGTTGCTGTAAGTTAAGAAGAAATATATTTATTAACTTGGATATTGTTCCATTAAAGGAAGGGCATAAAAAATGCCAAATTGCAGTGAAAAAAGTTAAGAGCACAAAAGAACCACCTTCACCTTAACAGTCATTATAGAAAATGTTAGGGGCAGTAGCCCTTAACCTTATAAAAAATAATAAATAAAATAATAACAGTGTTGAGCATACTGGATAAACACGTACCAGTCATTTACACTTAACCTTAACAAAACATCAATATAAGCTCACCGAGGTTCAATATATATATAAGTTCAATAAGGTTCACTGAGTATAAACGTATACCAGGCAACGGCACTTGACCTTAAAAATCAGAGTACATTATACCTCGGGCAGTGGTACACATCCCTAGATTAATCAGATTATCAGAAATAACAAATAATTATCATAATTATTATTATTGATTGATTATTACACTTAGACTTTAATTTGACAAAATTGCTCTGAGAAGGAAACTAATTTCCTTATTCGATGATTATTTCTTGCAAGCTGCAGCGTGGTTGTCACTAAAATTTGGGGTAATTTTTGGTGCTGGTACTGATAGAGAAATCTTCACAAAAACTAGAAAAAAATAAATTCACACCAAATTCAGGAAGATTTCTGCATCGGAGCCTACACCAAAATAAAAACAAGTTTTAGCAATTTTCTTCAATAGCTAGTGAGAAAAAAATACATTACTAATGGGGACCAATTTGAAAATAATTATAATTCTTAAGCAAACCTCTACACATTTTAATGGAAATTTTAGCAAGTTTAAAAAGTTTTAGGCACATTAACTCAATTTCACATCAAAACATCCTCCCAAATAAACTAATATATGAAATTTTGCGTACATCCAATTAAGAATAGAATAATCTCAGGCCTTTTTGGGCAATAGAAATTGATTCCGAATTATATTGTTTCACTTTGTTCCTTTATTTGCTAAAAAGTTTAATCAGTTCGCTTAGTTTGATTTATTTGTTAAAAGTTAAATTAAACAAATTGATAGTTTTGTTTTTCACTTAAAGTAAGTATAAACATGTGAAAAAATTTAAAATAGAAAGCTTTTCTTAGTTTCCGTCATAAGTAATATTAAACATGCAATGTCGAAAAGAAAATATTTTATTTCACTAAGAAGAATCTATTTCTTAACATGCTTTATACCTACATATTATGAAAAATAATTTGTTAATCTAAAATATCAAATTATTTTTTTTATTTATTTCAAATTACATTTTTTGAAGTGCATAAAAAAGCACCGGGTTTTTAAAATTATATAACTAAGAAATCATTGCTTCCAAAAAGAATTCCTATGTTTCTAATCTTTAGACTAATACCTAAATTTACGAAAACAAGTATAAAAAGATCGAGAACTGACTATCAGTAATTATCAAAAATTCAAGGAAAAATTATACTTCACAATCCACTCGAAATATATTAATAAAATGAGTTTCAGAATTAACTATTTAAGAAATGTGCAGAGAAGCATATTTAAAATGCTAAATTTTAAAAAATAAACAGCAAGGACAGACTAATATTTTTTCTTTAAAGTATCGCTAAGAATAAGTCAAGCTTATGTAAACCTTAGAATTTAAATAATCTCTCAATTTTTTTGCATTTAAAATTTCTGAAAAATACTTATTATTTAGAAAATATTTGAAGTTCTGTAACTTTTTTTTCGCTTTTTAATGGTTTCATGAACTGGTATTAATTCGCTAAAATTCAAAAAAATCATTAAAAGTTATTTCAATGCGAATATCGATTGGATAGCATAAGCATTAACCAAAAACAAAAACCGCAATGATTTTTATTACCCACAATGCCTTTCCATTCAAGAACGCATGCGCTTTGTGTTTACAAGTTTCAGTATAGCTGAAAAATGGCGACGGTAAAGTCATTGGAAGATATGCTCTCTTCCGAAGTGGATGAGTCAGATGTCGCTGCTCTTGTAGGTTCATTAGAATCCCAGTTATCATCATCAAGCATCCAAATATCTAGTCAAGGTGTAAATACTTCATCAGTAACTGTAAATCATGTAAATAATTCAAGTTTAGTCGATTGTAATGTCACTCGATTGCTTGACGGAGCAAAACAAGGGGTCATAGCTGCAAGCCCCGCTGTATCTTTAATCAATGTTGGTAAATCAACCATAGTATCAACTCCTGTTGCAGATGCTAATGCAGCGTCTGTTGCATCCACTTCTAGTAATGTTATTGTTACATTGCCTGGTGCGTTACCAGCCAGTGGTTACATTACACAGGTTACAGGACCACCACAACAAACATTTTTCACTCCTGTTGTCAGTGTAAGCAGGCAGTCGAACACTCCAGAAATAAAAAGTCCATTTTCAACTCAATCTCAAGTCAACCCCACGTGCACGATCAACACCCGTAGCAAGACTGCAGCTGCCTCAGTGCCCAATGGTGGCACAGTTAATCTACTCGGTGTTAGGCAAGCTTCAATGGGTGCAATCTATGATCTTGCAAATGTTGCTTCGCAGCAATCCCCCATGCAGACTTCCAACACCATTATCACAACGTCAATTCCTACTCCTCCTCAAGTTACTAATGGCAAACAGGTGATTGCTGTGAAATCTCAAGTGGAACCTAAACAACCTCTGGAAAAGGGTAAAGCTGGAGTGAATACTCGCTCCCAGGACATCCAGCCTACCACTGTAGTACAGCAAGTAGCGAACAATATTGTGCAAGTCACAACTAACCCTACTGTTGTGTCCAAAAGCCATGTTACATCTAGTCAAGCAGTTAGTGTGGTGTCGCAGGTTGTGTCCAATCCAAGCATCTTGACTCCTGGTGTTCAGATCATGAACGTGGGTCCTAGACTTGGCTTAGCTGCTGGTCAAAAAACACTTGCTCCTCGCGTAGTCCTAGCCACAAATCCTATTAGGATTGCTCCTCAGATACTCACAGCACGTGCCGGAGTATCTGGACAGGTATGAAGTGTCGAGCGTATTTAGTTCTATAAATTAACACTCATTAAAATTAACCTTGGGGAGACTTCCGTATCCTGATCTGTGGCAGAATAATGGCCAAGTCTTGACAATTTTCTGACAGCTGCCCGCGAGAAACTAAAAAAAAAGCACATCGCAGAAGGGGATCAACTCGAAATTTATAACTCGTAGCTACCCCCGGGCAAACATCTACATGTTTTTTTGTTTTTTTTTAATGTGCAAGTTTAAAGTCTTTCTGGCACCTTGGCAATTATAGTTGGCACAACAGATCAGGATACGGACATATCCCCTGAACCTTACTAAAAAATTTTATTTAGAAAGTGCGCAACTTGTTCTTGAATGGTTGATCTGCGGTTTCTTTTAGTTAAGAAATAAATAAAAAGGACTGCATAACTTGGCATTTAAAGGTTTTATTGTTTTTCCACATAATTTTAGTAAACAATAAAAAAAAAGGCACCGAAATTCTTAGGTAAAAATTCAGAAATAAATTGGTACCAGTTTGCAAAGTGAAACCAGTGCTTTTTAACTGATGAGAAATACTGGTCACTTCAATGATAGTTGAATAAATATATGATATCACTTCAATGATAGTCAATAAATAGTTGGGTTTTTTTCCACTTTTTTTACCAGTTTTATGTTGTTTTTAAGAAAATTAAAAGAAACAAGTTGAAAAAAAAAATTAATTCTGTCCTACTTTCATCAAATTTGAACGAGGCTCCCACTGGTCTGGGAAAACCTGGGATTGTCTGTAGGGATGTAACGAATAGTGATTTGATCAAATATTTGGTGGCCAAATAGCAAAACATTTTGTTTTTAAAGAAGAAATCATTAATAAATATTGTTTTTTATGTTTAAATAAATATAGTCATTATTGAAAAAATAATCACAAACATAACAGTATAATTGGTATAGAGTAAAAGAGAAAAAAAAAACATTAACCCCTTGCTTACGGTGTTTCATGTTGTACCAGCCATAAGCAAAAAGTTAATAAAAATGTTTAAGATAAAAAAGATAATTAGATATTAAGGTTAAACATCTCCTTTTTCCAATTATTGTATTTTCGAGAAAAATTAAAGTTTATAATCTAATAAATACAATCTACAAAAATCTAATAAATAGTTTACAATCTACAAAAAAGTATTTTGAAAAAGGGAAAATTAGATAGGTACTAAAACTAAAACCATTCTTAATTTTTAAATGAAAGATTTAACTCTAAAAATCTCAATTTAACTTTTTTCGTTGCCGTATTTTTTAGAAAAAGTGGCTTAAAAAAAATTCATTAGATGCGCTCTTTAAAAAATGTTGCAAGAATGAAAGCAGTGGAGAAAAGTAACAATAAAGTAACAAAAGTAGGAAAAAAGTAACAATAAAAGAATAAAATTTATTAGAATTGCTCAGTTAAAATGCTGCACTGTAATTATTACAGAAAAACAAGCAAAAATGAAACAAATAAAATAAAAAAGTTCTCAATTTTTAATACAAAAAGTGCCAGAAAAATGAAGAAATTGACTTGCCTGAACATAATTTTTTTTTTTTTTAAATCAGCATTTTAAAAACTTATGGTTTAGTATAAAGTAACCTAGTTTCAATTCTTCAAATTTCAGTTTTCCATTAGTGTTTTAAATTAACAAGATTTAGAACTTAACAAATTTGTTTGAAAACAATTTCTTTTAATGTATAGTTAGAATATGATTTTAAATTATTCTTTATTAAATCTATTCAAATTTCCTTCCAAAAAATACTTTTCCAAATAATACTTTGTCGAACATTCGTCCAAATATTTAGCCAATTATTCGGTCATCCGAATATGCATCAAGAAAATTCTGAATTTTCGTTTCATCCCTAATTTTAAATGTGTTAATTTCACTCTAAAAATCAGAGAATGATCAGGAGAAGTCGAATTTTTTATATAAACTTATAAAATGTCCTACATCAAACCTGGAATATAATTATCTTAAGTCCGTAAAAGTAATCAGTTATTGAGATTCAAATTAAATAATTTTAACATTGATTACAATTATTTATTTTTTTAAATTCCTCATTTTGGTTTAACTTTTCCATGTTTCCATCCTCATTCAATGAATCTAATATTTGACATTACAAATAAAAAAGATCATAGTTTTCTATACCAATAAATTATCAAAATAAATTTAAAATATTGGGACTTAAAAAATTCATGTGAAAATTCATAGATAAAGACTGTTTGAATCTTTCATAAAAACATCTAAAATGTAAAATTGAACATTTGACTTTTTTTTTAAAAATATATATGTATCTATATTAGTTTTTCTCTTTTATTCCTACTTTTCACTGTTTCTAATGACAAGTTAGATGAAATAATAATCCTTAATTGATTATTTTTGCAATATTCTCTTTTTGTTATTTTTCATTCAAAAATTTATTATTTGTTCATTTTAATTTCCAGTCCAACATTTATTTCCCCATGAAATTTAGGTTTTATTATAGTTTTAAACAGGTTTTTCATAGCTCTTATGGCTAAGTAATCTCAGGAACAATTTTTTAAAGGACTTTGTTAATTTAAAAATTTTTAATTTTATCAAAGAAAAGAATGTTTGAAATATTAGTATGCATATTTTATTTTGTTGTAAGTGAATTAAAGTAGTATCTGTAAGAATGTAATTTCTTCCTTTGTTATTTTTGTTTAAGTCATGTAAATTTAAGGGGCTGTTTTGTTTTAAAAGGCTCCTGAAATAATTGTTATTGATGTACCATGTTTAATGTTTAAACTTTTAAAAAAAATGAGCAAAACTCAATCGAATTAGAATAAGTGGTTTGTTAAAGTGAGCCCACAATAATAATTTTTAATTATAACAAGATTTCAATCAATTTTAGGCATTTCATTTATTTGTTTATTTTTTGTATTCATTACATTTGCAAGTGTACAGAAACTTCATTAGACTTTTAAAAGAAGAAAGGTTTTTGAAAAACTGAATAAACTCAAAACCTTTTGAATAATTAGTTCGCAATTTATTAAAATCACATTATTCATAAAAAAATTTATCATATTTTCTCTCAGTATATTGTAAATTGTTACGGAAAGTTTTGCATTCAATCAAAAATCAATTCAAAAGAATATTCAATGTATTTAAGTCTAATTTGTTATGAAGCCTTTCTTGCTCTTCTCTGATTATAATTGATTTTTAACTTTCTGGCAGTGATGTTAATTTTTACAAAAATGTTTAACTTAAATAACAAGTAAATTAAAAATCCTGTTTATGTATTATTTTATTCTGAAATATTTGTGTTCACTGATCTTGTTGTACTGTTACCCAGAAAGCTTTGGTCATATATATATATATATATAATGCATGCACCTTAACATTAAAAACAAAAATGAAATTAAAGAACTGCATTCGCATTATCACTAAGCAAAGACCATTTATTGTATGTTCTATTGTATAGTGTTGGTACATTTATTATAAAGTAACTATTATACAGTAGGGAACCGATTATCCAGAACGATCGGGACCATCGCTATTCCGGATAACTGATTTTTCCGGTTTTCTGAATCGCTACAAAAAGCCTTTTTTTTTATTGTTAAACCCAATTAAAAAAAATTAAAAATTTGGAAATAATCTTAAAAATAAGAAAAAACTATGAAGTAATACACTAATGATTATTTCCAAAATGATGGTAAGGTAAACATCTTTAAAAAAAGAAAGAAAAATCGTAAAACTTATGAGGAAAAAAAAATTTTTAAAACAATGGCGAGGAAAATTTATCGAATTTCGTTCCGGTTTTTTGGTTTTCTGATTTCCGGATAACGGGTTCTGTACTGTATTAAGAATTAAGTGTAATATTAATAATTTTGCTCCCATAATTATTGATCACGAAATATGTATTTAACTTTTTTGTGTCAAACTTGGACAACTATGTTTTATTTTTATTAACAAATGAAATTACATTAAGATTTTCTCTGTAACTGTTTATTTTTGTTGTAAAGCAATAGTCATGTCCAGTTGATGGCTCGTCTGCTAACGATGAGATCAGAAAAATTTGGCTTAAATGAGCAGTTTTATCTTTTCTCTTCGGTAGCTTTTTTTTTTGCATGGATACTTTTTTTTAGTATTACAAGGAATATACAAGAAGTATCTGCAAAATTGGAGGATCTGTGCCAATGTATCCATACACCCTGTTCCAGTGTGTGTCTAAATTATCTGACTATGAATATGCTTATTTAAATGATATTTGAGGGTAATGATTCTTTATGATGGTGCATCGCATTTTTAAAAAGTGCTTAAAGGTACTTATTTTTGTTTTTTAAAAGCCTTGAAGGTGCTTTTTTTATTAGGTGTTTTTAAAAAGTGGATAATTTTCCCTTTTCTAAAATGTGATTTTTTCTTTACTATGCCGATTTTTGCCACATATGCCAAAACGTGGTTTTCACATTGTTCTAGTCAATGTTTTCACAATTCATTCGACCACAGTCTATTTCGGCATACCGTAGGTTGTTAGCGTATGAAAGCGCCAATTATTTTACATGTTTGATGAAATACTTGCAGATCTGCATGTACATATACTGAGCTGGGTGCGGTGAGATTCTTGCACTCTCATGTTTACTCTGTTGCATTTTGCAGGATATTCTCAATTTCAGGCTTCATTTTCCACCCTCTGAAATCGAACCAAAGAATTTCTATATGTTTATATTTAATTTAGCTAAAGAGGCAATTAATACGGGTCAATTTTTTAAAATCAAAGTTCCACACTCATTTATTAAGTTTAAAGCTAAAACACAAATTAAAAAGGACTGGCAACACTACTGGCATCATCACAAACTGAAATCAGGCACATTAATCAGAGAAATTTTACCAGATGTCTCATTTAAACCTTTGGAATGGAATAGGCAGCTAATCCTTTTCTTTACAGAACATGGCCCCTTTAAAGCAAAACTAAAGCGATTCTGCCTGGCAACTGACAATACATGTGCCTGTGGAGGAGTAGGAACAGTGTGGCATTATGCAATAGAATGTCCGCTTACCACATCCTACCACTTAAAACAACCGAAGCTAGAATTCCTCATAGCCTGGAAGAGATCCATCTGTAAGAATCCAAAGTTGAAACAGAAGGCAACCAACCTCATTAATTTTCTAGAAGAATACGAGGAAATCCTGAAATAATTTTCATGAAAAAATGACAAAATTATGCAATATTGAGCAACAACCACAACTAAACTTGGCCAATTAGCTCTGGATACTTTTTAATCAAATGCCCCAACAAATAGAATAATCGCTTCTTTTTTTTTCCTTTTTTTTTCATATTTCTTTTTATTTTCTTCTCTTTTTTGTTTCTATTTGCTATTTTTTCCTCTCTTTTTTCTATCTGTCTCGTCTTCCAACCTTAACCATTAACCGATAAATGCCCTTTTAGGGGCATAGGCGTGGGGTTAAATGTTGGTGTGTGTGTGTTTATATGATGGCTAATGTAATCAAAAAAACAGTTCTTTATCAGAAAATAGTTATTTAATCATGATCATGTAAAGTCTTTGAAAACTATTCTGCATTTTGTTAATGCATATAGTGCTTAAAAGTACTAAAAAAATGCATATTTTTTGTTGAAAGATTTGGATACACACCCTTTTTATTAAAAATGTGCCTGTAAGTGTGAATTGTAATTTTTACAGGGGACTATTACGCTTTCTCCTGGAATGGTGAGGGGAGCTGTTATCCTGAAGGCTGAAAATGGTCAGTTACAAGTAATGAATTTGGCCGGATCATCTGGAAGTGCAATACCTGGAGCTACAACATATCGTCTTTCATCCCTTCCGGTAATTCTCTTATCAGCTTCATTTTAGTTAATATAAATTCTTTCAAAAATTTTTATTCATTTTTTTTTTTTAAATTTAGCCTGGTGCAACTGGTGTTCGAGCTGTCACTCCACAACATATTGTTTCAGTTCCAGTTAGTACAGGTGGATTGAAAACATCGGTAATTATTATTTAATTTTTTTTTTTTTTTGAATAACAATAATCATCATCATCAATGCCTCGACTGCTCAGGGTGAACCTTGGCCTTCCCTAGCAATTTTTTCCAGGCTAACCTTTTTCCTGCTAAGATTTTTTAGTTTTAAAACATAAAGGCTTTTTTTTTAGGCCATCTATCCATCTCAAATTCAGCTGGGCTCTTTTTCGCTTGCCAACTGGTCTGACGTTTAAAACTCTTTTTGTGGCAGGGTCTTTGCCAATCCTGATAACGTGGCCTGCCCATTTTATTCTTTGTCATTTAATAAAGCTAATAATGTCAGGTTCATTATATGAGTGATAAAGATCTAAATTTGGTCTTCTAAGCCGCACAGCATTTTTGAATTCCTCCAAAAATGCTTCTCAAGACCTTTCTCTCAAAGGTACCCAGCATAGCCCCATTACAATAATCATGGCATTGCTTTCAATTTTTTATTACAAAATCTGAACATTTTTATTTGCTTGAATGTTTAATTATAAATTATAATTTAATAATTTTGTCTACGCATTAATTAGGGAAAATTATAAATCGTTTTTCAAATATTTTTGGGTTAATGGCAGAACGTGGTCAGTTTATTATATGGAGGCTTCACTTCAGTGGCATAGTGAGCTTAACTCGCGCCCGGGGCACAATACCCTTTTAGCGCCCCCCCCCCATTCGAAAACGATATAATATTATATGTAAAATATATTCGCAAATTAATAAATAAATAAAGTCATAGACTCAAGCTAGGCTTTAAATTTGAGACAAAAAATGTAGTTGAGAGAACAAGACTAGATTTTGAAATGTATATGATCATCTAGAATTAGTTCAAAAGATACCTATTATTTATTTTACATATTTATAAAGAAATATTTTAAAAACACGCAGTTTTAAAACAATAAAAAAGTAAATATTTATTATCTCTAAGGAGATACAT